GGTAATAATATTTGAATTTGTCTGATTATTTTATTATTAAAAAAAGATTTGACGGTAAGTGGTTCCTTTATTTTTTCAGTCTAAATGCAAATGGAAATTTTTCAAAACTGTAATTTAGAATTACATCAAAGCACATAAGAAGATTTCTCTGCTCAGAATTCAAATTACACGTTTATAAATATTTTCTTTTAATAGTTTTTTAATCGTATTTCTGTCTCTGCAAAAGCTTACCTTTTGAGTTATTGTAATATGCCGGAATTAACTCGTTTTTACAGAACTCGTGAAAAGTAATAGCTAATTTACATCTAAGACTAGTGGAAATTCTCATGTTATGTAATTTACTTCACATTTATTTTATTTCCGGAGTTGAACTGCCGAACCAATTCTGAGTTTATGATTATCAATGTACAACTTCGTAGTCTTGTAATTTTGAACCCGACCAGAAGACAAGGGAGCTCCTAGATTAAGCATTGGGACAAATCCTTTGCGATGGAACTAACCAGTTATTTGCGTTATATGGAGAGGAAAACTATGAAAACCTCCCAGGGTTAGCCGGATGGCAAGGGATTCTAACCCATGATCCGTCTATCACTGAGGAAATATAACGTCAGCGCTGTGGTTGGGGAGAGCCGGTAACAGAATCCACCTCTGGAATTCGAACCTGCTTCTCCTCATTGGGGGGTGAACGCTCTATTGCATCGCCGCTCTATTGCACTTCATATTTAAAATTTTTACACTATGTCTACTACAACACACATTTAAAATTTCGTACTCTTGCACTATAAAAAGTTTTGGTGCATAGTTGCCACCATTTTTGGTGTTGAGGTGAGCTAAACTTTTTTTACAGTGCAGGCAGACATATTTTTTTTATTTGCTTTTCATTTTTATAATCTTATTTATTTATTCATTTACTTATTTTTTGTTTGTTTATTGACTGACAGCACATATTTTCATGTGCATTCAATTTAATTTATGGCTTTATAGCAAAAACATTTCATTTAAAAAACAAGCACATTTTCATTAATATATTCACACTAATTCCTTAAAAAATTATTATTTTGTAAATTTTTATTAATTTTTGGCACGGTAACTGCAGATCTGTACTTAAAAATGTATTTAGTTTACATCAATAACAAAAATGGTGGAAACTAAACTTTTTTACAGCGTGATTATTATACGTCAAAGAATATGTTTTATAAATTATTCAAATATTGTTGAGCATATTCTTCTTCCCAGAAAAATGCTAACAATTATATAAATGTACCACTATATTTCAGATTTCATTTGTGGAGAAAAAGAGTAACAAACTTAAAAGTAAGCTATTTAGTCATTAAAAAAATTTATTTGCTTTGTTGAAAAAATTCAGAATAAATTATGGAATTTCATAATTCACTGATTTTGCTTTACGTTCAAATTTGATTGTGGGAGGAAACAAAGAGAAGTTGAATGATGATTATGAGAAACACCTTCAAGTTTCAATGTTCAATTAAAGCTGTTTTGATGTTTATTGCATTCGCCTTCCTGAACTGTGACTTTTCAGATTTAAACTGTATGTTTGGTCTTTGCTCCGCTAAAATATTAATTTGCTACTCTCAATATATTTTTGTTCTCAACTCTTATAAGGATTCTAAATATGCATATTAACGGCAGCTTTTACGGAACATCATGTATATATTAAAGGCAATGTATGAAACTTTCATATTCTATCGAATATCTAGACATTTAATAGAATGCCCCTGGAACATTAAACTGAAGCATGAAGTATATTTTGTTAATAGTACATAAAGAATGCAATTGCTGGCCTTTTTTCAGAAAGAGGTTTGCAGTTACATATAGTAATCATTACTTTATAGGTTTCAGGTTTCTTTTGAGCGAAACAATGGTAGCGGGCTTAAATAAATAAAAAAGATTGAATTTCATGGTTTATCTATATATGTTAACCATGTTAAAGACTATCTATATAAGTTAACTGTGATGTAGAAAATCTTGGCATTTAATAGAACGCCTGGCCATTTAACAGATTACCCGACACTTTCAGTCAAAGTATGAAAATATACTACGCTTATAATAAAGCATGTAACTATTAGCCACTTCCCAAAAAGTGACTAGCAATTACATAAATTAAATACTACATTTCAGGCTCCTCTTGAAGAAAAAAATTGTAAGGCGCTTAAAACTAAACTAGTTACTCTCATTAAAATGTGTCTACTTTGTTACATAACTACCCAATAAATTATTGAATTTCCCGATTTACTGACTTTCTTTTATATATACAGTCGGACCTTTATTTAACGAAGTCGCCAAATCCGGATAAAAAGTTCGTTACATGGAAAATTCGTTGAGATAATTAAAATAGCAATTGTTACCCCATTGTCAAATTATTACCTACTATGAAATTTTTTCAAATGATTTTAACATTTTATCATATGAAGGTGTGGTGATTTCTTCATCATTTCCGTCTTCATATTCCTCGTCTTCCTCACAATTTATGGCTAATTGTTTTTATTTTCACACTGTCCAAAATACCCAGTTCAGTTGATGTTTCTGTGGTTGCAGTTTCAGAATCGATAAAAAGAAAACCATTAATCAGTACATCATCATTAATTTCGTGGCTCTCTCTTAGCTATACCCGCATTTTTTTAAGTTCTTCTAAAGCAGTGTTTCCCAAACTTATGACTTTTGTGTACCCTTTCTAAATTTTTCGTAACGCTGAGTACCCCTAATAAAAAAATGAATGAATTTTTTACTATGAAAAATCGCACAAAAAGTAAAAATCACAACTGGCTGTTGACACCACTAATTATTAACTGTTAACTCTGCAAAAAATATCCAATAGAAAAATACGTAATCGTAAATTTTCATGGCTAGCTTTGTTTTTAAAAAAAAATTGAAATTTTCGTTTGTTGCAAGATATTTCGCATAAGAACGCGTACCCCTGCTAAACTGTTCCCGTACCCTAGGGGGTATGCGTACCGCACTTTGGGAAACACTGATTTAAAGGAATGTCATCCTCGTCTTCCTCACTTTCCAAATACTCCGCGCTGACTAAGAGTCCAACTTCAGCAAAACTGTTACGAATAGTACGATTTGTAACATCATAATTCCATGCTTTTTAAATTTCTGTTATGCTTTCTCGTAAATTGATTTTTGGTAGGTTCCTGTGTGAAATGCAAATAAAAGGGGAAAGGGATTTTACCGCTTTCTCTAAAAGTTAAGTGGCTGCGAAAATCAATTCAAGGCATTTCCGTTACGTCTACGTTGAACAGCCGACACAATTTTGGGTTTACGACTACTAATGTTCAACGCCGTAGCCTTGTAATTTTGAACCAATACAGAAGACAAAGAAACTTCTAGATCAGTACCACCAGAGGTATTGATTTGTTATGGGAACATGGAGGACTTTGCGACTCGACAGATTTAGCGTGCATCAGTAACCATTTCGACAGTCGTGCATCAGTCGAACCCACGAACTCTTGGTCATGGGCCCAGCTCCCTACGGAGAAGGCTAACAAGTTTGAAATGTTCCGAAATATTTTGGGAAATAGGGAAAGTGGATCTTTAAGAAAAGTTCGTTAAATAGAAAATTCCCTTCGCTATTTGGAAGTTATTTCTGGGAGAAATTTTCAAAATGTTCTTGATTCCTCGAAAAATTCGCACAATAGAGAAATTCGCAAAATGGAAGTTCGTTAAATAGAAGCCCGACTGTATATATGTTTCCGACAATGCATGAAAACGTGTGTACGTGTAAACGTGTATGTATGAAAACGGGTATTCTATAAAATACCTGGACATTTTATATAATTACGCTTTTAGTCAAAATATGAAAGATATTATGTTGATAGTAAATAAAATATATATTATACTAATAAAATTACTCACCCAGGCATTGGATGCAACGTTTTATTACCTAGGCATAAAATGTAACGTCAAAGCAATCTATTAAAGTGCAAATGGCAAAGTATATAAATAAAAGATTATAATAAAGATACTATTTAAAAAGACGTTCATTCCTCAAAAATACAAATGTTTTTTTTTTTTTTTTTAAATGGGACCTCTTAATAGTAGTCTCTCAATATTTTAAAAATAAAAAAGATAGCTATATGGAAAGCTTATTATCATATAAATGTTACTGACAATTTAAGAAACGCTGGCATTGTATTTAATGACATATTTCATACTTTGTTGACATGTATTTTGGCAATGTGTGGAATTTTTTATCTTTTCATACTTTGCTAGCAAGTTTTTTGACATTTTATCTAACTTCTATGTGTTCTATATAAGGTCAGATTTCAAAATTTACTGGTAACCTATATATTTGAAAATGTAACATTTCCTATTTCATATTTTCTTGTATCGCAAAATTTTATCAGAAATATAGATCTATATAAAACTTCTAAAGTCAGCATTTTTCTGATATTAGACAAAAGATTATTCTTTCCTAATATTATACAAATATACTAAATCGAAGAAAATAATAAAATTTATTTAAAGCTTAAAAACAGAACAAATGGAGCATAAAATTATAAAATATTTAGATTAATGATAACTGACTGGCCATTGGCAATTATGACTTTACACTTCAATGTCTTTTTGATTTTTTATTATCTTTCAGATTTTTGTTTTGTAAACTTGTTTATTAAAATTCCACACAAGTAATTCGATTATATTTGAATCAGTACATGCGGATTTTTCAATTTTATTTAAATGTAAGATTTTTGCCTCATCGAACACTATTTTTAAGAACGTAAGAAGCCTCTGAATTCTATAAGTCCAGAAGTAAACATATGTTTTTATGAAAATAGAAAAGAAACTTAAAAATAAATTAAAAACTTTATTAAAATAATAACACAAAATCAATTCTATATTTTCTTTACTCGAGTACACTCTAATATGAAAAGTTCAACTTACAATCTCTGAATAAATTTTTAAGAAAAAGTTATAAACTTGTTCCAGAAACACATTTATAAAGATTATTTAGAAAATTTTACATAATTTCGGGCTTCCAAATAAAAAGGGTGTTTTTCCAATGATGCTTTTCTGAGAAAACAGAATGTGAAGAAAATATTTGAAAAGAAAAAAAAAGTTAAGATGGATTATTTCCCAAGTCCTGTCAGCATCCATCCAGGATCATACATGTTCTTTTGTCTCCCACTACCATATAAACCAATCTTGTGGAATCTATGATCACCGGAATCTAAAGCAGAAATCCCATTCGAACCAATCATTCCTTCTCCTTTTTTTACAGGCTCTTTATCTGGATTTTCCAAACCTTCTCTCAAGGCATTAAAAAATTCAAAATTAATTAATGTTGAAATTCCCCATAAAGGATTCACATTTTTTGGTGAAGGACCAGCTCCATTAGAATTTGCAAAATCCTGATACAAAGGTCTTTTTCCCAAGCCAATAAACTTCCAGCCTGGATCATACTTTGGTTTGAAGTCTGATTTCTTGTTCTGGTTTTGGAGATCATAATCTTGATAAAATGATAATATATCCTTATCGTCAAAGGTAGGTTCCTTTTGAAGGGATGAACCCAAATCTTCTAAAGCGTTGAACTCCTCTTCTTTTATTTTGGTCGGATTCTGTATGTCGTAGAATGTATGAGGAAATTTATAGTCAATACCTGGAATAGAAAAGAAAATATTGTTTAAATAATTATATTTTATTCAAAGAACGAAGACTCACAGCTACAGTGTAGCCATTATTAAAGTAGGGCCCAAGTGCTTTCTTTAAAGCTATTTATACAATAGGATTTTTGATTTAAGTTTGATTTCAGTTTTTCGTCTTCGGGGATTAAAAAAAAGGCTACAAGGTCTGGGATAAAAAAAAGAGACTACAGGGTGTGGGATAAAAAAAAAAGACTACAAGGTCTAGGATAAAAAAAAGCGTTTTTGGTGGGGGGAAAAAGTAGTCATTTCAAGTACAGAACGTAAAAATTTCAGATGCAGTTTGATATTGGATTTACATTCACAATTTCATTATAACACTTTTACAAAAAAAATAATTTCTGATCAGAGCAATACCATATTGCATACGATATTTTAAATGTAAATGTTTTACTTCAATTAATAAATTGTTTTACTCCAATTAATAAATACTATTCACTAATAAGCAATGAATTTTTTCAATGAAATCGGACAAACTTCAAATATTTTGCTGCTTCGTGAAAATTCACACACATTAAGCAAATGTAGACAAAAAAGAAGAAAAAAAAAAAGAAACATCCTGAATAGCTTATCAAATGATCGGATTTACACGAAATAGGATTCAATCCTAATGGTTGGGGTAACTTGCAATAAGCTAATTAATTAGTACAAACGATATTTTAGGTTACATAATCAGGCACAAAAACGTACTTTCTCTGAATAAACATACCTTTTTTTTCGTCAAATTTGGATTCCTTACCCTGAAAATAAAGGATCTAGCCGCAATCTGGAAAATATGGTCTGAATAGTTTAGTCAGGAAAGCGGTCCAAAATTTTGAAATAGTAAAGGAATAAAAAATTTCATATCATTTTAAAAAAGATGATTTTATATGGCAAACTACGATACTGAGAAATCGAATTTTAAACATTACACTTTCTTAAATTCGATTTCTCAAAAACTATTATATCGAATTCATTCAAATTTAAAATGGAAGCCAAATCCGTCATAAGAAAAAAGGTATGTTTATTCAGAGAAAGTCGTTTTTGTGCCTGTTTTTTTTTAACTTAAAATATCACCTGCGCTTATTAATCAGCATGTTTGAGGTCATCCCCACGTATCATATAGATTGAGTACGTCAAAATCAAAACATTAAGTTAAAAGTTTAAATTTTTCATTTTTTTTTTATTTATTTATTATTTTTCTTTAGCATTGCTGAGTGCGCCAAAAAAACGGACCACCTTGAATAACTTCTGATCTAATGATCGGATCTTCCCTTTCTGGGACTTATTTTTAATGGTTCGAGGGGGTAACTTCAAATATGCTAATTAATAAGTGAGGACGATATTTAAAGCTACGAAATCAGACAAAAAACGTACTTTCTCCGAATAAACATGCTTTTTTTCGATGGATTTGGATTTCTGAATCTAAAATATAAAGGATGAGCCGCAATCTGGAAAATTGGGTCCCAATAGTTTGATCAGGTGTGCGGTCTAAAGTTTGGACCATTTAATGTTAATTTTATTTTTTGCGTATTTCACCATATCTCGAGAGCTTTTTCAGCGAATTTAAAAAAATTTCCTCACAATAATAATTTTATGTAAAATATAACTTCTAGTAAATATTTATTTATTTTTTTATTATTTTATTTAGTAATAGTCAAAAAAATTTTGAATTGTAAGGTTAACAATTTTTTTATATTATTTTAAAGAATGCAATTTTAATAGGAAATATACAAAAATCGGTCGAATAGCTCCTGAGAAATCTTGAGTTATATGGGTGAAAAGTTTTAGAACATGAAGAGTAGTAACAAAGAGGGTGACATTAAGGGATTTCTCTTAATGTGACGAGATTTCCTCTTGATTAGTGTATAACCCCTTATCATTTTAAGTTTCCTTTAAAAAGTACAAAAACTACTTAGAAAGTTGCTTGAAACTTTTTAAATTTTTTAGATATTCAAATAAAATACTTTTCATTAGTTGCCAAATACGATTTATTACGAAATTATAAAAGGACTTTCCTAAATATTTTCAACGCATGCGCAATATAAAAGAACTACCTTGAATACTTATATCTTGCGCTGTTTTTAACGAATTTTTTTAAAACTTAAAATAAATAATTTTGTAATTAATTTTAAATTGCTCCAAAGATTTTTGCTTGGTTGTTTTGTTATATTTATAAAGTTGCAACAGAAAAACGTAAGGCATAAAAATTATTTTTTATAAAAAATGTCCATATCTCCATTAATATTTACTTTAGGCTTACGCAATTTTATGTAGTTATTAAAAATATCAAAAAAAATCTATACAAGTAACAAGCTTATTTTGGCATAGAGTGCTCCAAAGTACTTGTTTTCTTCCGTAATTTATTGTAGGTCTCACATATATTATATATATACATTATGTATGTAATTATATAATGTAATTATATATTTAATTACATAATGTATATATATATACATTATGTATGTAATTCAATAATTCAAGTTTAAACTTTTATTTGCATATATTTTCTTAGTATAATTTCTGTTTTAAAAAATTTTCAATCCAACAATTTATTTCATGAAACGTGTACATCATAATAATATATATCTGTTCTCGGAATAAAACAATATTCAACTCCTACACCATAAACAAAATTTGACTTTCAAAATTTAAAACAAAAGTATTTTTAAAGAGTTCTTCTGTTTCGTTTTCAAGGATCTCAAATTTTTCAATTTTCAAAATGGCATCCCATTTCTATTTTCTTTTCTTTAACAAATATCCAAGTATTCGATATTCGCATTGTACGTATAGTGTTGGGTTCTATTGTGGTTGTTCTATTTATGCTATGACGGGGAAAACAAGAAATCAATGAAACAAAAAAAAATCGAGATTTCCCTCAACAAACTTGCTCAAAGTTGAAGGACATTTGACGTTTTCACTTATATTTGATTTTATGGACTTAGAAAACCAAGTACTTTTTATTGATTTAAAATATTTTTCGACCTATGAAACAAAACACCTGACATGAAATTTGAAATTCAAATTACCTTGCAGATGCATAAGAATAAAAGGAAAACTGGGACGAAAATTATTTAATCCCTTTTTTATAAAAATATATTCATTTGATAACTTTTTTGTATTTACTCCTGTTCTACTAGAATAATTGCTCGAGTTTTTCATTATAATTATTATTATCTCACTTTTTTTTTCCAATTTGTGCTATGTTTTTTCCAATTTTTAGTAGATCGAAACTGGTTTTAAAGCACAAACATAAACTATGAGTAAAACAAGAGAGGGAAAGAGAGAAGAAGTCAGAGAGGCAAAGAGAGAGAAAAGGAGATAGACAGAGTGTGAATAAAAGGAGAGAGACAGAGAGTGAGAAAAAGAGAGATAAAGAAAGAGAAATATGATTAAAAAAAATCTAGCAATCATTTTAGTAGAAAGGGAGTAAATACAAAAATTTCTTTACATAAATATTTCCATAAAAAGTATTAGATAATTTTAGTACCATATTTCCTTGTTTAACTTATCTGCTAAGTAAATTGAAATTTAAATTTTAAATGGGTGTTTTGTTTTATAGGTCGAAAAGCTATTTTATCGTAATTTAATGATCTTGAAATTAATTTAGCAATATCGCCAAGCCGTCACCAATCGATTAAATTACAATAAAATAGTCATGTCTGAGCTTATTTGAATGAAATTTTGACAGTAATTACTAGAAAACATAAAACTAGCATAAAATTACGATAATTTAGACAAATAACAGTAGACAAATAACACTAAGGCACTTGATCAGCTAGACCATAACAGTAAAGTCTCTTTATGGCATACAATGACTTATCTGCGATGAGTTGCTAAGCGATTCTCAGTCCTCGTGATATGCTCTACCTTTCCTCCAAATTTGTACCAATATTTATAGAACATCCTGAGTTAAGTCGCAAAAAACAAATGAAATAGCAAACTGATTGATCATGGAGCGTTGATTGATCATAATAATTTTACTAAATAATCTTTTTGTAACACTCAGAATAATAATTAAGGGTATAATTTATTCAAAGGTTATTTTCAATTTCATTTTCGTAAAAATCAACCCAGCTTAATCATCAGCTGATTACTGATTACTGTAGCTGGGGATAAAATAATTATTAAAAAAAAGAATTATTTGTTCGTCAGAAAACAAGCTTATTTATAAATAAAAATTCAAATATGAATTAAAATAATTCTGATTTTTTTCCAAATTAAAATTCCTTCATGCCCAGATTTAAAAAAATTTTTTTTTATTTATTTATCTTTTTGTTATTTATTTTGAAAATAATTGTTCATCGTTCAGCACAGAATGAGGGACAAATAAAGGAGATTTAATCTATTCTTCAATGTATTATATTTCGTGATTGTTATTTAGTATTTCAAAACTTTTGGTTTTATTTATGCTTCACAAACATTTTTATCCTTTACTTTTATTTCTGCGGAACTACATCTTCTACGTGAAATTAGACAAAAAGCTTATATTAAATGAGACTAAATTTGTCAATTTAAAGAACCACTTAGGAGGAGGGTTAATTGATTGAATTATTGATTGATAAAACAAAAATTCGTTTTTTGCCGAATTTAAGTGATGTAGATCTTTTATCGGTCTACCGATTCGGAAACATTCGGTCGAATTAATCGGGAAATAAAATTTTATTCGAACATTTCATTGTACTGCTCAAGTTGTTTCATGAAAATAAATCTTCATTTACTAGCGTGAGAAGTATTCTTTTTTGTTGAATTAAAAAGATTTTTAAAGATATTTCAAAGGAATTTCTGTTTGACACAAGTAGTTTCGATGACTTTTGATCGTTTTTCAGTGTTGAACATTAAATATCAAATAGTACTTGGAACTTAAAGCAAATAATTTTTGACGCAATTTATTCCTTTTGCAGTTTCTATCAATTAGCATTTTTTGCCAATCTTAGTAGATGTACTAGTTAAGATTGAAAAGGAATTTTAATTTTAA